CCAACGTGCATGTAGGCTTGCAGCGCCCGCTCGCCCGCTCTTGGACAGGAAAGGGCTATTCTTCAGTCCTGAGATGATCTTGCTCTCAAGAAGGAATCAGAGGAATAGGGAGTGTGTTCTGGCTCCCTGAACTTGAAGGATGCTCAGGTTACAGAAAGTTCCACAGCAGCTATTAGTCCATTAAAACAATCTGAGGATCAGAGGTAGGAGGAGAGACTGAAGAGCAAGGCATGTAGCGTGGAAAAGGGAAGGTTCAGCAAAGACAAGTGTTCTGCCCATAAATACCTTCAAGGGAACAATATAAATGAAGGAAGGGAATTGCTCTAATTATCTCAGAGTAGTAAAGCCTGGAGTTAGGACCATAAAACCAAATTCAGGCTAGGCAGTTAGAAAAATGTCTTTGCAGTGAGAAATCAGGCACTAGAGACAGGTTTGAAGGGAAGGCTGTTGAGACTGGGCAAAGCACTGTGTGAAGGGCCTCAAACAGCAATTCACAGCTAGGCAGTGGCTTTAAAAATGCCTGCCAGAGGGCCTCAGATATTTGCCAGTTTTGCAGCACTGATTCATCCTGCTAAATTGAGTTCGAAAAACAAAACCAAAGTCCAGTGCTAAAACACTTCTTTAATGGAACTTTTCCACATAAGCAATTGTAACAATTGCTGGGAGAATGCTATACAGATGTTGAGAGAAATGAGCTAAGAAATAAGGTGTTCAAGATGCTCTACTCTGCTCCAAAAAAAAAGCATGTGGGGAGTCTGCATTAGTCAAACAAGAATTAGGTCACTTCTAGCTAGGTCTCCTGTGACCCTTGAGGATGGAAGGGATGAAGGAAGGGAGAATGGGATAAGGCAAGTCAAAAGATATCACCAGTCAAAAGCACCATTTGTGAGAGGCCTTGGGTTCTTCTAGTGCCTGCAAGTATTCACAGCTTTGGTGGCACACCTTGCAGGGAACCAAGGCTTGAGAGAGGAAGACCTGTCCTGTATGAAGGATTGACAAGGGTTGTTACAGGAGTCATTTCAAAGCTGCACCTGCGACTGCAGTTCCTCTCCTGTCCTGACTAGCTCCTGAAATTATCTTAACCTCCCCGGTTGAGGCTGGTGGTGGCAGAATGACTTCTAGCCCTCACTGACCCTCTGTTCAGCTGCAGCCACACCGCTTTCCAAACCTCTGTCTGTGCTAAAGCTGCCTTGTCATGCTAGCTGCAGCTTTACCTACAACCAGCTGCGCGTTAGAGGCATGTGAAGCTTTATATAGCTGGTGGCCGCCACGTAGTGTGCTCAGTGAAGTCCCCTCGCTTCAATTTCAGTTCCACATGCAAACCAGTTCTGTTCTTTAGAGTTTCCTGTAGGCAATTGCTGCCATCTTCCCGCCACATGTTTTCCCACCATCGCGCCCTGCCTCTCAGCTCACCCCCCTGGCTCTTCCCAGCTGCTGCTGTGCCAGGGTCTCTGCTCCCACACTGAGGGATGGGGGGCACTGATTTTGTCCCCAGCAGCAGAGCGCAGGGAGAGGTGAAGGACGGCAGGGGAGCAGTGTCGGGTCTGTGGACACCTATTTTGTGCTTCATCTTTTCCCTTGGCATGTTACCCAGAATGTTACAGTGTTCTGCAAAGTCCATCTTTCTGCTGTAACCTAGGAGCAGCTTGCTGTGTGCCACTGTGGGCACCTGCATGACGATGAAGGGCCTGCAGAGCACTTAGATGGTCTGCAGACCAATGCAGAAATTAGAGCAATGACAAAGGCGGCAGTGGGCAAACGAGGGGCGGCTCAGCATCCTCTTGCACTTCCTCTTTGTGGCAATGCATTTCGCAAAAGCCACACTCGCTGCCTTTTCCAAACCAAGGGGCATTTCTGATAGTGCAGAGGGTTGAAGTGTCTTTTGGCTTCTTTGCCATTCAGATCCAGCCAGATGCTAGATGACTGCACTTTTCAAGCAGGTATGCATAGTGGTCATAGCCTAGTTTTGAAAGGAAGACTGTGAGGTGGATCAAGGAGGAAGGCAACCATAGGTGAGCAGACACAGCATTTAATAAGGACTGTCTCCTTGCATGCGTGCCCATCCATGCTAGGCATGCAGCAAAACACTATGACAATCCTCAGTCCAAAGTATCCACAGTCTCCCAAACCCCTGGTAATTCCTGCAAAATGCTTAGAACATGTAAAAGTACAAAGTGCTGTAAATTAAGAATAAACTAGCCCAGGATGTTTGGGATGATTAAAACCTCCCCACTGACCTGCTTTTTTCTGCCTGGGCATGGGTTAGTATTTTTTTTGCCTTTTCCCCTCTTTGTGCCAGGCAAAAATATGGGTCATTTACTAGAGAAGTGAGGAGGTCAGCTGGAGACCTGCACTGAGAGGAAGCCAGTTTGCCATGTGGGTTGTGCTGGCAGCGCTGCATCCCAGCCTGCAGCGAGCTCAGATCGCCCTAAAGGTGCTCCTCTGTGTTCAGAAACTGTCCCTTTCATTAGCTGCCCAACTGTCCCTCCATCCATCTGTCTTTCCTTCTCAGCTACATCCACAGCGCTCTGATGACATTTAAAATAAATAAGAGATTCAGGATCCTACAAGAACTGGAACAGGTAATGGAGGGAGCCAAGGAAGGAGCAAAATTCCCAGGTTAACCATGAATCACTCCGGGAGTGCAGTCATTGATTTGTAATCATCGCCTGGCTCCTAAATATAATAGCTGTGAATTCCTCTAACTAGCAACTGAGACGAGGAGCTTTGGGCTATTCACAGCACACTTGCGAAAATTCAAACCTGTCTTGCTCACAAGAGCAGGTCTCAGAGCTCCGGGAGCCCAGCAGCTTTAGCAACGCGAGCACTGGGGGCTGCAGCTGAGCCGAGCTTTCGGATAAGCCAAACTGTGTCCTTCCTTCCATCATCCCCCGGGCCGTTCCCTGCTGCTGGCACCCTGCACCCGAGCGCCGGGCAGGGGAAGGACAAAACAAAGCAAGTCCCAGTGGCTGAGAGCACCCTGGGACCAAACTGCACCCTGCCAAGGGCTCCTGACGGTGGGAGCTGAGAGCACTGGGGGCTTTAGGAAAGGGGCTCAGTGCCGTGCAGGACATGTCCCAAGCTGCCTCCGAGGTTTCTGTGCAAAGGCTGCCAGCAAGTGTTAGCACAGCCTTGAGTTTGTTATTTGTTTTCTCCTTTTCCTACCTATTAGAGGTAAAAATGAGTGAAAACTAGGCAACAGAAATACCAGAAAGATCCTTAGTTATCAAAAGCGACTTTAGAGAAGGAAGAAACCCAGTGTCACTGTGGGAAATGTGTTCTTGCCTTTTCCATTAGCCATGTCAGGTTTCTTGCCTTCCTGGGATGTGCATCTATCACTAGGCTGTGTCGTCTTCTGCAGATTAGTGTGGTTTTGAGAGGATTCTCCCTCCTATAACAAGGAGGACAAAACTCCTACCATAAAAGCTATATTCTTTGTGAACACCCCACTCAGTTCATGCCTCCTACTCTACCCACCTGGCTTCCTCAGCCAGAACCTGCTCTCTTCTCTACCTCCCCTGCTCATCAGCCCCCTGAAGTATATTCCATCTTTGCCTAAATTCCTAATACCCCCACATCTGCCCCAGGCAGATGCTTTCATGCCTTGAAGGAGAGGAGCTGTATTTGTCACTGTGCACCCGTGAGCCTCCTCCCCGCCACGACAACCTGCGTCTCCACCATCTCAGCTGGCTCTCTGTTTCTCTGCATCTACGTTTCCCAGGTTGCTCCAACATCACTTGAACTCTA